CTATAGCAATAACCGTTCAAGTTAAATTAGTTCACATTAGAATTATTACATTTTTATTATGATTTATTGTAAAAAAGTTCTATTACAAAACTTTCTCGCTAGTGTTTGAAATCGAGGCCCGTACGATTTTAAAATTTTTGAGGGCTGTAAAAATAGTGTTTCACAATTAGTATATAGCCGAGATTAGTATATATAATAGTATGATAAACCAACTTTCAGCAGACAAGTTCCATTTGTATCTCATACATGCCTGCTGCCTGTAGCAGGCCATTAAAGTTAGGCGAGTTCGGCCTACGGGCTGGCCTGAGTCCAATTCGCCTGACTTTAAAGACCTGCTGCTAGAAGCAGGAACGTGTGAGGTACAAATGGAGCTCATTTGCTAAAAGTTGGTTTATCATGCTAATTATATATACAAATTTTTGCTATGTACTAATTGTGAAATACAATTTTTACAGCCCTCAAAGATTCCAAAATTGTTCAGGTCACCCAATTCCGAACTCTATCTCAACATCATCCTTCGCAGCACCATTCTTTCCAAACACTATTCTTCCCTGTCACAATCCTTCTCCAACACCACCTTTCCCAATCTGATATCACTTTTTCCAAATACTATTCTTCCTCGACACTATCCTTCTCCGATACCTCTTTTCTCAACATCACCTTTCTCTGATACGTACTACTTTTCTCTGATATCGATACCACACTTCCCTGATATACTTTTTCAACAATTTTTCCTATAACCCATTCCAACATACTACCACATTTCCCGAAATAATTAAATATTAATAAAATAAATAAATAAATAAATTATTAAAAAAAACTAATATAAAAACATCTAAGTTATAAAAAAAATTGATTAAGTTAAAAAAAATATATATAAAAAAACATATTTTAAATTAAAAAAATATTTTAATTTAATATTTGAAAAAAAGTCGTTAAGTTTAAAAAAAAAGTTTATTAAAAGAAAATAAAAATAAATAAAAATTAATTTAATTTAAAAAAAATAAATTATTTAAAAAAAACTTTAAATTAAAAAAAAAACATTAAATTAAAAAAAAAACTTAAGTTAAAAAACCTTTAAATTAAAAAAAAACTTTAAATTAGAAAAAAAACTTTAAATTAAAAGCTATTAAATTAAATAAGAACATTAAATAAAAAAAGAGAACATTAAAAAAAAAACATAAAATTAAAAAAAAAAAGTTAAAAAAAATTACAAAAAATTTCTCTGGCCAATTAAATTTTAAGATCGCATATAATGTAAGTTTGACTTAAAGTTACTATATAGTATGTATTACGAGTTACAAACTTTACATTACTGGTAATCTTAAAATTTGATTGGCTAGCAAAATTTTATTTATTAATTTAATAAATTATTTATTTTAATATTTTTTTTATTAATATTTAAAATCATGGAAATCGGAATAGCTGTAGGGGAAGGTTGGAAGTGTATTGTCAGATAATTGTTTGTTTTGGTGAAATGGTAGATGATGTTAGAGAAGAAGTTGTCAGGGAAAGAGAGGTTGTCAGGAAAAGGAAAGTTGTCGAATATGTATAATAGTCGGAAAAGTGGTGGACAGTATTTAGAAAGAAATGGTTGTCAGGGAAAGTGTGGTTGTTGAGGATATAGTA